AAAAAAAAAAAAAAAAAAAAAAAAAAAAAAAAAACACATGTTTCAAAATTCCGCTTTTTAAACCAGTTCTTATAAGTTTGTCATTCTGCTTCTTTTTTTTTTCCGTCGCATACGTTTCTTCTGAATTACAGAAAACTTGTTTAAGAATATACGGTGCGACAAGACCACGTTACCAGAATGCTTTTTGTCATTTACGACTGCATAAGTAAAATATCATTTGTTAAAAATATTACAGATAGTAAGACAAGTAAAACAAACAACTGAACATATATAAGACATTAAGTCTAAAAAAAGTTCTGGAAGACAACTGTTTGAAAGCGAAGGGAATTACTACCTATATGACTTAAAGATAGTTGTTTTTGTGCACCTGAATAAAGCCAGAAAACTTACGTTTTGATGAAATTGGTGTATGAACAATTTCTGGTGGAGCGAGACCGTTACTGATAATTTTAACGGCAGTACACGTTGCTGGGAAACACAATAACACGGGAAATAGCCAAAGTGCGAACATTGTTCGCTCTGTTGTAAAAGCTGAAATACAGTGATTATTATATAAAATAAAAAGTGTCACATCTAAAGTTAGTAGCGCCAGCAGAGAAGAAAAAAAAACCAAATGTGTGTCACAGTCACATAACAACAAAAATTATTACTAATGAATTTTTATATCCGCTTCACTATACCCCAGACGCCTTCCGCTTTTCTTCTTCCTCTTCTTCCCCTTTCCATGGCCTTCCACCCACCCAAATAGCGAAACTAAACTAAACGGTACCCATATGACATCGAAACAGCCTATAGGAATTGCGAAAACCTCTGGGAAACGATGAGCTACTGAAGCGTTACATTGTGACTTGGTGTTATAAATCATGATTGAAACCAGTAAAAACAAGTAGGTCATTAAACTGTTTGCCGACTGAGGCTTATATAGTTGTAGTACAGTAAAACATACTTCTCAGAACCCTTACCCCCAACCTGTTGTTGGTAATTGAAAACACAAGCTAAATTTTCTGATGAAATTAGGGTACTCGTATATCGTCATAACAATTACGCGGGTACAACAACACTTACGACAAAGCGATGCTTCAATGCTGTATTTAATTTTTCCGCTTTTTTTAAGAAACCAGAAAAGTTTCTTTGAAAAACTATATGAACAAACAAAACCGGTGATCATAACGGTTTAAATTGGAATGACATCGGGAAGAGCAGAAGTCATACGAGGACATCGCTGAAGTTAACTGAGGAAAGGTTAAAAAATTAGACCATATATTTAAAATTGTTACAGTGATCCATTTGTGGTATGTAGTAATTTAGATGATAATCTCAAGCAAAAGCAATTTAAACTTGAAATAACCCGTTTTTTCCGTAGTATTTGTTGCTTGTTGCTGTTCTTGTTGTTCCCCGCCCAAATTTTTTGACACCAAAAAACCCGCCCTAAAACAATATGTATACCTGGAAGAAAAAGCAAAAAAAAAAACAACTTTTGATTCTTTTTTTAGCTTGAACATAAATTCAGTGAAAATCTCAAATCGATCTTTCGCAACAACTTTTACAACAGCAGTGATGAGAACGGAGAAAGCGCAGAAAATTTTTCACTTTCAGCTGAACTTGTTACCCGTTCTTTGTGTTAACAACAAAAACAGTAATAAACTGATGATCTTTTTAATGTAGAAGAAATCTTCTCAAGTTTCCTTAATTAAGTTTATGCGGAAGATGACGTAAAAAAAGTTGGATGAAAGTAGAATTTTTAAGCATTCAATTTCCGTTTCTGCCACTCGTGTCGACATTCATCTGTACGATTGTCATGTATCCAATTATACAAAATTTTATAACGCTGCTGAAAATATGACAACTGAGACTTATGGCAACAATAACGGCAACAGTTTTGACGGTAACAATGAACGGAATGGTTGCGGATATCCAATAAGATCCAGCACTTTAAATAAATTTTTCTTTCCTACAGTTTTCAACATTGTTTTAAGAAGAGATGTGAAAAAAGATTATTGCAGATAAGCTTTAAAAAAATAATAACAATTTCATAGCTGTCGTAAATTATAGCTCCGAAAATTTGAAAAAACAGCAAAAAAGTGGCAAAGAAAATAAATAATACTAACATACTGTTATTATCAGTGAAAATTTAACAGTTAATGACACGGAAAACCTCTTTTCCAATTCTTTTTGATAAAACTTTCTCGATTAAAATCAAAAGAATAAAATATTAGTGATGTATCACAAGCATTAGAATCGCTAGCCTCCCCCCTCCCCTTCACCCCGCATAATATATGCATCTTCATCTGGGATTCAGAACTGGGCGAACTACGACTATGGAGACAATTTTCCGTATACCAAACTAACATACATCAGACAATATAACAGTTTTTTACAGTTTATTAGGTGCAAAAATGTATAAACAAATAAATAAAAAACAAATAGATATGCGTAAGAGTTTCCTTTTTTTTTTCTTTGAATGTTAAAATTAAGTAGCAACGATTATAAGCTTGAAGTAGCTAAGATCGTTTAAGAACAAAAATAAGCACAGAATAGTGCTAAAAAAATACACATTAAATTTAGCAAAAATCTACTAATTTTACTCAATTTTATATTTATATTTTTTTTTTTTCGAGAAAGACTTCATAAAAAGAAGAAGAGAAGTGTAAAAAAAAGCAAACAAATAAACGAATCAACAGAAACTGTTCAGTTGGTTATCAAAAGTGTTTATTTGCAATGAAAAAGAAGCTTATAAAGTAAGAGCAAAGAAATGGCGATGGTGAAGCAAGGAGAAAAAAAGAAAATGGAAGATTGATGAACTAACTAATTGGTGTGTTGATGAGCACCGTTATTGTTATTCGATGTTATTGGTATAGTTATTATTAACAAATTG